CCCACTCGACTGCTTTTCCGCCAATGGTGATCTGTTCACGGTCTGAAAAGGTAGAGAACGCCGCGGAAGGGTTCATTCCATGCCTCCAGACACCGCCCTGTATGATTGCGGCGATATCAACCGTAGCTTCATTATCAGCTAAAAATTTCTGCGTATGAATTGAACTTTTCGGACCGGAGACAGACGTACCTCTGTGCCTTCCTTATTTGTGCACCCTCATTCTGAGACGGTGAAGGAGAGGGACGCGCTTTGATGAAGGCGCAAGGCAGAGCCTGTCCACTGAATAAGTTCAAGCTATGGACTACCAATTTTCAGATCGGCAATAGTGAAAAAGTTTGGAAGTCGCGTTCGACGTCTGGCGACCGATATCGGTGGAAAAGGTTCATCCAAAATAAGGAATAGGTAGGCTAGTTAAGTTTTGAGTGGTGATGGAGATAGACATCCATAGTTGTTCCATTAATAGGCTTTCAAATCAGCTTGTCATGAGAGCAAAAATAAGACACCTAGAAAACGTGATCCATTTTAAGGCCACGCCCACGGGGGGGGCGCGGCATGAGCCGAAAGTGAGTGGTGTAGTGGGCAAAAGTTCAGAATTCCCATCCAAAGCATCCCAGAAATGGAAAAAATAGATTAAAACTAGATACGGTTGACAGACTAGTTGGAGGAGACACCCGAAAAGGGCGGAGTGTGCTTGATGGGTGGTGCTCCACACGAAATTACGTGACTAGGAACCTACTAGTTCCAACTGAAGCTCATTAACCATGATACCACGAGGTTTTTCAGATATAAATGAAAGAGAACTTCGCTTGATTACGGCAATGACCGAGGATCTGCACTTGATACTTCTCGAGTGTGCCAACATAAGCACACCCGGCGATGTCGCTCAATTGAACATGGCTCCGATACTGTTTCTGTTTAGAATTAGTAATCGCAAGGTAAGCAGCTATTCAGTAGGTCAGAGAGGTAAATTATCCGCATCACAGTCGTACGCGCCGATGGGCTGCGATTTGGTCGGTTTCATCGCGTCTGCGGGTTGGTCGCGACCAGCGAACCAGATCGCTCGCGCGATCAAACCGCGAAGTATGGACGCTTTCTTACAGATTCTGCTGAAGCTGCTTGAAGAAGACCGGTATCAAAGGTGGTAAATGCAATCGCTGGTGCTGACTTTCTCAACCAGCTAGCTCCTGATCAGGTAGGTGATCTTGAACTCAAGCCGTGCCACAATTCCCAATACTACTCTTATTTCAGGTTGATGTTATTATTGAAGACAATGGACTTAACGAGGCTACGAATAAGATTTTTAAATTCTTAGAGGCTTACTGGCTAGCTCTACACCCAACGACACCGATTCTTGAGGACGAGTATCTGGAACAACTTCCAGAATCATCTGGAGCTGGTGATAAATCCAACGAAGGAGAAAAAAGAACTTAGAAACTTAGAACAGAAATTTTAGGACGCGAAGTGACACGTCTACTTCTTCACAGTTAGGCGCTGACCGATAGCCATTTACGTCTTTAGGCTGCGTTCATACTTTGCGGCAGCGTCCACCAGCGTCCACTAGCGTTCCGAGCGTCCGGCAGCGTCAGCGACTAGGAAAGTATAGATATCGATCTAGCGTCTGCCAGCGTCTGCCAGCGTAGAGGAGAGTATGGCGGCAAGCAAGGCTGCTGGTACCCTCCTAGGCGCCCTACTCTCTACCAGCAGCTTGCCACCTACTATCTCCTCATAACGTCGAGACGCTAGTGGGCGTTGGTAGACGCTGGCGCACGCTGGTAGACGCTGGCGGACGCTAGCGGATGCTAGATCGATATCTACACTTTCTTAATCGCTGACGCTCGGAACGCTGGTGGACGCTACTGGTCGCTGGTGCAAAATATGAACGTAGCCTGATTGTCCAATCGCCCCGATTTTGAAGGCAAATTTCGCGCTGAACATATGGGGCGGGCAGTGATCATGTCAGTGTCGCGCTCCATATATTCAACGCTCCTCTTTAGCGTTATGAGAGAAGGGGCGCCGTAGTGAGAAAGCCATGACGACCTTTATCTCCGCCCATCCGGTTGTCGCGGAATATGGCTTTGATTTCATATTCCAACCTGTTCACTAGCAATAGCTTATTCCAGCATTGAAGCATATCAGAATAAAGACTTTTTACCGTTCTGTTGTAGCACTGTCCGCAATTGTTGGTGGAATGTTTAAAGAAAATTAGAGCATCTCAAAGACACCTTCCACGTTGATAGTATGGGCGGAGTCACTCGAACATTACCCTTCTCCTGGTGAACTCCTTCTCACATGATAGCAAAGAGAAGGGCACAAGTAAGGAATAAGGAAACCTTCTAGTTGCCTCTGTCTACACTCGTGATGTCTGCGAACTATGGGGCGTCTGACGGGACATGGCTCGGAGCGCAGCCAGATCAGCTTTCCCCTAGCTGTAGCGGGCTCAGGATGACATCACTGGGGGAGAAAGGGCGCCCTGACTGCGCTCCAAAACGCGCGACGTCACGACCCCAATCGCTTGCAGGAAACATAACTGTACATATGTACCAGCGCGGAACGAAATTCTAAAATGAAATTACCTGAGTATCGTATTCCACCAAAGTGCTGTAGCCATCTAGTCATTCGGCAGCATTATAGAAGTCCCGAATGAAGAACTTTCCCAAAATTCTTCATTGCTTCTGAACAGTCGCTGGAAATAGTGTAAAGATTGTAGTACGGTAAGAAATACGGTAGCGTAACGCAACTTATGATTTCTTATGAGATGTAAATGATGGAGGCAATGTGAAATCGTAAAAATAGCTAAAATCAGACAAAAGTTGCCTGAGAAGAAAGAACTGATACCGCAGTGCACTTTTTTCAGCTGATCAAAGGGATGCCGCCCAGAGCAATTAGGGTCGTATCAGCTCATTAATTATCGGTTTGAATGGATCATCGTAACATCCTTGGTACACTGCTCTGAGACATGTTCACTTCAAATACGAAATAAAGTTTGTTCAAGGGGGTCAGCAGAAGGTGGGATCTGTTTTTCGAGGCACATTTCACGTTTTCTTCTTGTGGGGAGAAATCAAAGTACTATGCGGGAAAGATAGTCTGAACCGCAATGGACAACTTCGTGACTGCTGTATCAAAACGTTCAAAGA